AAAAAAAAAAAAAAAAAAAAAAACATCAACAGCAGGTATTCGCTGGTGGTCACCCACCCAACTACTAATCTGCCGATCTGAGGCTTGTGTATGGCAGAGCGGACGGGATGCCCAATTCTCCTCAGTCTATGGTCGTATGTACCAGTTCTTTGACTGTTCCAATCCATATACCCATTGCATGCCTTCTTACGGAAAACATATCGCGATCCGTGTCTCTGCTCAAACCCACACCCACAAGAGACTTCTTGCGTTACAGTGCAATATGCTGAAGAAACAACAGATCTGGCCGTCCATAAAGAATTGATTAAAAAACAATGAGAAGCAACAATCACTGATCGCTTTTCTCTTTCGATTACAAGGGAAATGAATCGACGCGGACATACCCTCTTCTTCGGCTTCTTCCTCACAACCCCGTCCTCGTCCTCTACTTCTTCCTCGCTCTCTTCGCCTTCTTCATTTTCGCCCCGCTTCTTCTTGTTGTTTCCACTGTCGGCAAGACCGCTCAGTAGCTTTCCAGTCTCCGTAGCGACACTGTCAACTCTGCTGGTATAGATTTTGACGCAACCATCCAAAGTACAACTGGCTTTCTGGAAATTGACACCATCACCTTCCTTTAGAAGCGACATGTCGTGGAAGTAATCGATGAGCGCAAAGTTCCACGAGTTTGTAGCGTTAATTTTGTTGTCTGTAGCCATTTTCATCCATTCCTCGAAATTGGCCAGAAGAGGCACGCGTTTCATTGGAGTGACTGCTGTTCCGCCAACCATCAAAACGGCCCCATCGAGGTCGTGCTCCTTGCTGCCAAGCCGTCGTGGGGTTTTGGGGTTCGAAGAGGGCGAGGAACTTCCTGCTCGGTCGAAATTCGCAAGTTTTCGCATTGGAGATGCTGCAGCTTTGATCTGGTTCATATGTATGTCATGCAGCGCATGGCGCGACTGCATCCTCTTGGCCTTCTCTTGTGCATCATCGTTGAGTGGTATTCTATGGATGGTGTAATTAGCGGAGTGAGAATAACAAGCCGAGCAAGTTATGACGCCTTACTTGACCGGTGACTTGAAAGGTGAAGCAGCGACAGAGCCAGATGCCACTCTGGAATTGTTGCCATTTCCACGCGGGGCGTGGGCCACTCGAGGCATCGTAAGAAGGGTGACTTATGTTGTGGAGGTGCAGGTTGTGCTGGAGTTGAGTTGGAGCAGTCATTCAATGTATACGCGCTTTGTTTACATGGCACGGGCATGGGGCGACGAGATCTTTGAGAGCCTGAGGCAAGAGGTAATATTTATCTTACCGAATTAGGCAAGGTTTATCATCTTATCTTAGTGGATACAACGGACGGGATGATCAGACCTCCGATCCGATGTACCTAAGTACCTTTACTCTACGGAACGGAGCTATGTCATATAGATAATCTGGGAAAGCTGGGAAGGAATTGCTTGGCTGGTCAGGTCAGGTCAGGTCATAACCCCAACTTCAACTTCAACTTTAACTTCATCCTCAACCTCCCACAGATATATTCAGATCATGCGCCGGCAAGAGAATGCCACAGAATTCCTCCCACACGCCCCATACGGTGCCCATCCGCCACCGAAAACCCAGATTGAGCTTTCGCGCCTTCTACATCACCGTCCTGTTCATATCTGCTTTTGCGGTATTCAGCTTCGTCGCCGACCAGAGTGCTAAATACACTCATGGCCCGCAATTCGGACTTGCCCAGCGACAGGAATTGGAGAGTCGGGATGTCACCCAACTGTTCAAGAGGGACGAGGAGGTGCGCCCGCCCCCACATGCTATTATTTCTCCTTTGCATATCACTCCTTCTAATCTTTCCATCTAGTGCCGACTCGTTCACCATGCCGAGGATAAATGCGCTTTCATCAGAGCCAATTGCCCAGACGAGGAGGCGGGGCTCCTGTCTTACCTCTCCCTCTATTACTGCGATCTCAACAAGGCGCAACCAGTTGCCTTTATAATTTTAACGCTCTGGCTGGGGCTTCTTTTTACAACCATTGGGATAGCAGCCTCCGACTTCTTCTGCATCAACCTATCTACAATTGCAAGCATTCTTGGGATGAGCGAAAGTATGGCAGGGGTTACATTTTTGGCCTTCGGAAATGGAAGTCCCGATGTTTTCTCTACATTTGCTGCTATGAGTTCGCATAGTGGAAGCCTAGCTGTTGGAGAGCTGATCGGGGCAGCTGGTTTCATAACTGCTGTTGTTGCGGGGTCAATGGCACTGGTCCGAGAGTTCAAAGTCGGGAAGAAAACGTTTGTCAGAGATGTCGGGTTCTTCATTGTAGCGGCAAGCTTCAGTATGGTCTTTCTCTCCGATGGAGTTCTACAACTGTGGGAGTGCTGCGCCATGATTGGGTTCTACGTTTTCTATGTGATAATAGTCGTCCTCTGGCATTGGTATCTAGGTCGACGCCGGGTGCGTCGCGAGAGAGAAGCAGCTGCTCGTGGCCATTATTTGTCTATGACGAATGAGGAGATAGAAGTTACAGAAGATGGGGATGATGAAGATGCACCTGCAGGACAGGGCCGCTACCACGACACGGAAGATTTCGGGGCACTGGAGCGTGGATCAAGTCCAGGTTACGGATCTCAGGCCGGAGATGATAGTGATGAAGATGGTGATGAAGGTAGGCAGCTGGCAGCCGATATGGCCAGTAGTATGCGTATTACTCGTCCTCGTGGTAATCGTAGGAACACGATTACCCCTATTCGCCCCAGCCTTGTAGGTGCTTTGGAGTTCAGGTCTGTTCTATCTTCACTTCAAAAATCCAGAGGTTCATATGCTCGACCCATTCACCTTCGCCGATATTCCGACGATCCGACTGCGCCGAATACTCAGAGTCAAAATGGCGGATCAGAGCCATACTCCGATCATGCTCCAAGCGTTGTGACCTCCCAAGCCGAAGATTCTGGTATTTCCCCTCCTCGAGCCGGTTCCTCTACGAGAACCCGAGCAGTTTCCATGAATGATGCTGTAGACGTAAAGCCAACAGACCCCTCAGCATACACTGTTGCCCAAGTACCAAATATCGGTCTTATGGCGGCCACCCCCACATTTCCTCGGCATCTAGAGATTCCAGGACCAGAATTAGTCTCAACCTCTTTTGCTGGCCCTATGCCCCCATCACCAACAATCTCACTCTCCCCTCCACCGTCGGTCAATAGATCGAGAGATGTCAGCCCAGCCCCCTCTCAAGAAAGACGAAAGCGAGATACCCTGGCTCCTCCAGAGGAAGGATATCCTGGTGCTCGGCATCTACGTGTTGACGTACGAAAAGATCGCCAGCAAAGAGGAGATCCCGCACAAGACTCTTCCACGATGAGATCTGGAGAATCGCAACGACTTAGCTTGCAGATTCCGGGGCCCTCATCCAGAGATAGTTCTCGTTCCAGAACCATTTCTCCTGTAGTGCAGTTTCCTCTGTACACAGATTCGCCTACACCACTCTCAGCCCGCAGCTCCAAAGCCCCTAGTCTCTTACTCCCGGAAGCGACGCTGACCCCTGAAACATATGGGAGTCAAGATATGGAATACCAAGAGAGACAGGAGAGACCAATCAAGTGGTGGCCTTACAGCTTTCTACCAAGCCCGTGCATATTAGGCTCTACTTTGTTTCCAACTCTTTGTACCTGGAGAGACAAGTCTATATGGGATAAATTTGTCAGTGTAGTTTCAGTGCCGAGCATTTTCCTTCTAGCAATCACACTACCAGTGGTAGAATCCGAACCTCGAGAGGACGAAGATTTGGGCTTGGTGCTCGATGAGCGCTTGACCCATACGAGGCAAAGAAGTAGTACAGGGCCGATGTTAACACCAGATAGCCCATCTCTAGAAATAGAGCCTGAGTGGATGCGTTATCGGCAGGCAACGGCCGAGTCCCAGGAGCGTCTTCCTCGATCGCCACATATATCAAGAATGAGCGGGCACGACACCGCCACGGTCGCTGTATTAGCAGAGAATAACCACCATCATTCTCATCCAACTCCTATACCCTCAAAACAAGCCTCGGTAGACCCCATGGAGATTCCAAGCGAGCGTATGCCTACGCCTGCCAAAGACTGGAACCGCTGGCTCGTGTCTGTGCAGATCTTCACGGCTCCTCTGTTTGTAGTGTCAATTGTTTGGGCTAATACATCCGAGCCCACTACCCGTCGTCTTATTAATCTCGTCATGTATTCCCTCCTTGGCTCCCTCATCGCATTTGGCGTTCTCGCCCTTACAACTACGGCGTCCAAGCCGCCAAAATATCGCGCCCTGCTCTGTTTCCTAGGCTTTGTTGTCTCCATCGCCTGGATTTCAACCATCGCAAACGAGGTAGTCGGCGTCTTGAAAGCCTTCGGTGTCATCTTAGGGATATCTGACGCAATCCTAGGCCTCACAATCTTCGCCGTTGGGAATTCTCTGGGCGATCTAGTCGCAGATATCACCGTAGCGCGTCTTGGGTATCCTGTCATGGCGCTCTCGGCATGTTTTGGAGGCCCAATGCTCAATATCTTGATCGGCATAGGTGTCAGCGGTTTATACATGACGATTAAAGAATCGAATGCCCATCACGCAAAGCACCCGAACAAGGAAATCAAATACAAACCCTATCACATCGAGGTCAGCAGGACACTGATGGTCAGTGCTATCACACTGCTTGTGACTCTCGTGGGGTTGTTGATTGCGGTGCCGATGAATAAATGGGTCATGAGTAGACGAATTGGATGGGGACTCATAATCCTTTGGAGCATCAGCACCATGATCAATCTCGGGGTGGAAATTAGTGGCGTCTGGGGAATTACAGCGTTGACGTTGTGATGACAATGCTTTTATAATACCAGGGAATTTATGCAGAAGTTCAATCTAAGAAAAATGTATAACTATTATTTTACTACATACATAGTTTTACTTCTGGGTGTAACATCACGCTCAGACAAGGAACACTTATCATGTGAGGGGTTTTTATTTTACGGGAAGATGCAAAGTATTGATGGATTTTCTTAGTCGATGTCTTTAGTTTCTAGAATCTTATATCGTCATTCTTTCAAGCGTGGGTAGGAAAAGGTTTCCAAAGGGTCCTCCACCTGCTCACCCCTTTCCGAACCACCAAACGATCAAAATCTCCACCTGTACACTCTACCAGTTCGAGAACCATTATTCGTTCGAAGGAATAAGCCTTTTTCCATCAAAGTACGTATACTGCAGTGTATCCAGATCGATGTCCTTGAAATTCCTCACCTACTCTGCGTAAGTCATACATTCCTGTTGGTCCTCTCAAAGCTATTTGGCAATAGAGCGGAAGGGAGGGAAAGAGCCTACATTAAGAGCCAGGATATCTTTCCTCGGATCCGTCTCCCCCTGCTCCGCAAGCCGAAAATCAATCAATATGCTAGAACCGCATGTCTTACAGAATTTGTGGAATCGCGTGCAAGTATTGAATGTGTAAGAGGTCAAATCCTCGTATCCTTTGCTCAAATTTGTCAACCCTTACTCTTCTCCCTCCTCTGACATCCAGTTCATAGAGCCGAGAAAGACGGTGGATGGTGGAGAAGGCGGAAAATACCTTGAGTAATCTCGAAGTCACTCCTCTTTGGATACACAAATAGATACCCATTCCGAATGCAAACCGAACAGCTGCATGCATTGACAGGATATTTGGGGAAAGGGTACTTGAGCGTGACGTTGAACTTGACTGTGCCGCAATGGCAAGCGCCAGTGTGGGAGGTATGCTCTGATTTTGGCGTTTCTTCAACGACAGTTATGTGTGCGAAATCTAGGGGTGCGGCATTGCAAAAGGAGGGGTTGAGGCTAGACGCCATTGTGAATGGAGTGAAATGGCTCGACTTGATGAGTGCTGGACATACGAACACCAAGAAAATAATGAAGACCGAGTGTCTTGGTTTTATATGGATTTATGACTAGATCTATGCTAGAGCGGTCTAGACATCAAACCGTCTTTATTTTTGCCATCAGCCAGTCAAAGTATGCACCACCCACTAGACACGGACTAATGAAGATAACGGCCATGCGAGAATTGAGCGAGGTTGGTGCGAGATTGAAGGTTAATTAGAAAGACGACTTCATCCTTCCCCCGGCTGGAAGTATAAGTACGCAATACAAATAATGATTAATAGTACTTATTTTGTGCTGACACTAGAGTAAGCAGATCAATCCAGACCAGCTGATGAGGGGATGCTGAACATGTTACATACATATTACATACACACGTACAACCAACGAATCGGCGACTTTATGGATTAAACGGAACGGCACCGACACGGACGACGCTCTGATTTGAAAGTCGTTTGATGAGTCGTTGAACGGTTGAAGGCGAGAATTTCGAGATATCAGCCCGGGTGTTTTCGTTACGATTTCTTCCGTAATAGCAAGTCAAGTATTCTAGTGCAAGCGCAAGGCTGTGATGGACAAAGGGTTTGTCGATTAGTATTGACTCACTGGTGGAGTTTTCACCATTTCTATTGCCGTCAGCTGTCAGCATAGACCTATCCGTATTCAAACGTAGGCTTTACGGGTATCTCTCTCATTTTCGTCCTATCCCATCCTATCCTGTCCTATCCTTCCCTTCCCGTTGTCATATAAGGTAAGGCACACATCCTCTCAGCCTGCCCTGAGGCATTCACCACCAAAGCACTTAAAGATCTCTTTGTTGCTTATTTCGTGGCAATTCCTAATCACCCTGTTCATACTCTCTCAATCAATCACGTTTAAACCAGATTCGCCCTTGACTACTCATCTACTCAATGTTTGTCGCAAGAACGAGGCTACCACTCTCTAAACAGACAGCGGCACAACTCTCCAAAGCTGCAGCCAGTTTCTCAAATTCCTATAGCCTGACCTCTACCCACTCTCCTCAAAACTTTTCCTCAACATCAAGAGCTAGTCTTCGAGACTATTTCCCCGAGCCGGAACATGACCACCAGATTCAGAGGACCGATTCGGCTTGGCCACATCCTCCGTATGTCCTTTCTTCGCTCCACCCATCACAGATATTCGATGCTAATATGATCCCCACAGCTACAATGCCGAACAAATGAAAACTAACATTTACTTCGCCCACCGGGAGCCAAGAGACTTTTCAGACCGCGTTGCCCTATTTATGGTTCGCATGCTACGGTGGGGAACTGATATTGCAACTGGATACAAGCATGATGTTGAGAAACCAAAGGTAGCGGGCGACAAGAATCCCGTGTCCGCCACCAAACCCTACGCCATGAGCGAGCGGAAATGGCTCATCCGAATGGTCTTCCTGGAGTCCGTAGCAGGCGTCCCGGGCATGGTGGCGGGCATGCTCCGGCACTTGCATTCTTTGCGGAGGATGAAGAGAGACAATGGCTGGATCGAGACGCTGCTAGAGGAGGCGTACAACGAACGCATGCATCTGCTTACATTTCTCAAGATGGCAGAACCGGGCTGGTTCATGAAGATCATGATCCTCGGCGCCCAGGGCGTATTCTTCAACTCCATGTTCCTCTCCTATCTCGTCTCCCCGCGTACATGTCATCGCTTCGTGGGCTACTTGGAAGAAGAAGCCGTTTTGACGTATACCCTCGCCATTTCTGACCTCGAGGCTGGAAAGTTGCCCAAATGGTCCGATCCCAAGTTTCGTGTTCCTGATTTGGCAGTCAACTATTGGCAGATGCCGGAAGGAAACAGGACTATGAAGGACTTACTGCTGTACATACGGGCTGATGAAGCAAAACACCGAGAGGTCAACCACACCCTAGGGAATCTGAAGCAGAAAGAAGACCCGAACCCATTCGTGTCCTCATATAAGGATAGTGAAAAGCCGCATCCGAGCAAGGGAATCGAGTATATAAAGGCAACAGGATGGGAGCGGAAGGATGTTCTCTAATAAAGTTTTTGGAACAAGAGGGTATGATAAGAATTGGCAGCAAGCGTTAGGGGGGATATTACGACAGAAACGACAACACGACTCTGTAAAAATAAATTTGTACGTAGCATTACTTGGGCGTCGGCGCACAGCAAGTCAAAAGAGGCACACGGCGTTCTGGTAGACGGAAAGATCTCCTATTCAGATATAATAGCGTTATAAATCGGCGTTTATAGATCTAGTCTGAGAATCAGACCACAAAGTTCTTGAATTAACAGTTGACCGCACTACCTACATATACCCCTCCCTGTCCGTGAATCAATCTAGCTCAGCTGTCCCCATATCCATTTTTTGCTTTACGACACGAGATTTCCCCGCTAGGATGCGATAACTAATCGTTTAAAGCCTATTGTGGAGTCTTTTTTTCGTACTTATGAAGAATTCATTCATATTGGCGACACAGTGGTATATAAATTCTTACCATTTGATGTCATTTTAGACTTATGTCTTGCTGTCTATCTCCTTGCCCAACGTTTGGCTGCTACCCAACCAGGCTATTTATATCAAATATTTGACAACTTGAAAGCAATCGATGACAAAAAGGCTGTTAGGCATAATTTTGGGTATCATTCTAGATTAGACTCTGCACAAACTATCTTACACAAATCCTATCTTTCATCTCCTCCATTTTCGCACTCACTACTGCTCATCCTTGAGGGCCTGCCCATGTTCCATATATACACCTCATGACGGTTTCCACTTAACGCAGAACCATCATTCACTCGAAATCCGTCCATCAAAAAATAACAGTCTCAACACCATCGGTGAGAGATCAAAACGTCGGTGAAGAAGTGAAACATAACCAAACGCCCGCTTGTATCAGATAGTCATTTCTGCATGGTAGCATGGTAGGCCCTGGTCATTTCGGTCTCGAGGCGAGCTGAAATTGTCAAAAATGTATGAAAGTTACTTCATCGCCAACGCTTCTTCTGGCTCCCCTTAGAATCTGTACTCGTCTGGCTGCTACCTCTCCGCATTGCGCTGGCAGCCCCAGCGATAGCATGGGGGGACTCTCTACCAGTCACGCTCGAATCCGTTCGACCCCGTGGCTGCGGAAGCAGACTCGTACGCCTATCTGCTGCAAGTGAGCTTGCAGGTCTTCTTGACAGCGGACTGCTGCCTAGGGTAGTAGGATCGCTGGCGTGCGGTTGCAAGTTCTGCATAGAGGCTCGTCGATTTGCAGAACTTGTAAGTGAAGACATTGATGATTGGGTGGTTAGATGCCGCGGTCGTGCTGCAGGCGAAGAGTGGGCAAGAGTTTGTTGGGCATAAGGCCCCGGGCTAGAGAGACGGTCTCGGATTGCGAGACGAGAGGCAGAAGTGCGTGAAGGTGTAATTTCTGGGACTGGTGAAGAGGTGACGTCCTGACCTAGAGGAGAGCGGAGGGGTATCTTGGAGTCTTGGGACATAGTGGAACGACCGGAATGAAGAGTGGGCGTAGTACGGGCGTGAGGACTAGGTGTAGTCAGACTGAGCGGCTTGAAATTATGACCGATGATTGTATCTTTGGTGTTGACACTCGCATTCCACCGGGGACGTCCATCTGACGGGGCGTTTTGAGTGGGTCGAGGAAGACGGTTGCTAGTGGGAGTCGCCGAGCCCTGTCTTGATGCTGGAGATGGGGATCCTCGCCCAGTTGACGATACAGAAGTTGACAGACGAGCTGTTGGACCCTTCCATGGAAGTTGATTTAAGCCCGAGGGCATACTGGAGGTTCTTCTTCCGCCAGGCTGTGGTAAGCTACTCCTATTTCCAGCAGAGCGGAGCTTGCCATTCTTTGCAGGTGTAATCGGATCGAGTTCCCCGTTAAGCCCTGTCATGACAACTGATGATGCAGGAGAGCTGCCGGGGGTATCATTCATACTCCCAACAGTAGAACGGTCGTTCGATACCATACTCGAGATTGAGTCTCTGAGCTGCTGGTTTCGCTTGTCGGCCTGAAGCTCCCCCAAAACCAGATCTAGCTCACTCATCTGTTCCTTAAGTGTATCCCACTTGCGTTGCATTTCAGATTGTAATCGCAAGATCTCACCGTTCACGGTCAATCTATCCTTCACTCCCTTCCCAATAATTGACAATATCTTTTCCACGGCTGGGCCGTAATACAACTTCTTCTCCTCATACTTGTCGATCTTCTTGCCCATAGTAGCTGGGTTGTTTAAGTGAGCACCGTCATCAACAGCCTCCTTAAGCTTCTCGAGACTCCGTTGCACAGAAACATACATCTTCTGGGCTTGCCGGCCTGCACCTCTAAAAACCAAAACCCATCGGTCCTCACCAAGTTCTCTCCGTAGAGACTCGGCATCCTTCTCGAGGTTCTTCCAATTGTCTTCCAGTCCAGCGCGTCTTGATTCGAGCTCTTCACATGCCGTAGGAAAGATATTTTCGGCCCTATAATGGAAAGAAGATAATCTCATGGGAAGAAAATCCAAAGAAGCTCTTAAAGGCTGCATTCTCGCAAACAAAGCCAAGAGGCTCGAGTCATCGTTTGACATAGTCGCGGTATTCGGTGAACTGGGGCTCGAGGGGAACGCCACCGCTACACTGAGCCGATGGTTGGCATAAAGCTTTGTTTTCGATGGAGGGGTTTCCTCGACAATGGTTTCAAGCTCATTAATATCGAGCCCATCCCCACCAGTTTCTGCCAGTAAAGATTTATGTCGCTTCTCCTCCATCTCAAACACCAATCGAGCCAGGATGTCCATTTCGTTGCCAATATCTCCTAACACAATGTTCCACAGTTCCTCCCATTCCATTGCAATTTCAACAGAATTCTTGACACCCCTCAGGGTCCTCTTTATATTCTCCCATTCATTGACAATGGTCTCAACCTGGAGCACAACCCGCTTGAGTTCTTCAGCTGGAACCGTTGATATGTCGGCACGGTTCTGTAATGATTCGATTGCTGAGACGTAGACATTTATGAGTTCTTCGAATCGGGTTATAGCATTGTCCACTTCCTCCAGCCCCTCTCTCCCACCTGCGGCAGCCCATTCTACATCATCTTCACCATCAAGTCCAGCGATAACCTCGGAAGCTTTTGCTATCCAACTTCGGATCTGTTCCGCGGCACCCATCAACGCGCTTGAGGCGGCTTTCGATGTTGGTATAGCTGACACTTTTGTCGAGAGCGATTCGGCATCTGGCAACTGCAAGGATGTTAATTGCGCAAGTTGGTTTGCGAATGAGACGCGTGAAAGGGTGTAGATAGATCCTGCACGCTGCAGACCAAAGGGATTGAAGTAAGAGGAAGCATCTTCGGTAAATTCGCCAGGTGTCGTCCCCCAAGGAGGAGTGTCTTTTGCGATAGGCGGGGGTGGAGATTCTTCGTCCGGAGGAATGCATCTATCGATATGCGCCTGTTTTGTATCGTACATTGCCTTGGTGCCATTCCCATTTGTATGATCTGGCAGTCGGTACTTCTGCGAGTCCATATCCTGCTCAACAAATGTAGTCATGGTCCTGTCGCCTGAGCTAGCAACTGAAGGTGTTCGGCGAGTTCCTCCTTCAAAAACGCGCGCGTCGCCAGCTGTGAAATCGTTGAAGCTCCCCCCCGTGGTTTGCGGTGTAAGACGACCTGCACCACTCCACGCCCTCCCGCGTCGCTCGACTATGGAAGAATTTGTGGTTGAATTCGCGCGGTGAATGTGGTCGAGCTGTCGAATCTGGTCTTCGGGAATGCGGCCAATGCGTTCTGCAGATGGCGAGATGCTTTTCGATTTGCTGGAATTGTTGCCAAAGCCCAGAGCCTTCAGACGAGCTGCCAATCCAGGCGAAGGTTTGCGTGCCTGACGAGGCTTGCGTTGGTCGCTGGGATCATGTAGTGTTGCTATTGCTGTTGACTCTGGAGAAGTAGTAGAAGAATAATTATTGATGTCCTCACGCTCATGCAAGTCGCGGGAAATATGCTGGGATGTATTTGGACTGGGACTCAAAAAGGTATGAGTATGAGCACGAGCATCGCGGAGCGTAACTTCTGACATCTCTCTGGCATCTCTCTCTCTCTCTCTGGCTCTGAGAGGTTGTTTCCGTCCTGTCCTGTCCTGTCCTGTCCTGTCACGTCCCGTCCCCTGGGCCGTTGATGATAATGAAGTGTCTGTCGATGGATGTCGGTCTCGCTCTTAATACCTAGTCTCGCAACCCTGCTGCCTGCCTTCAAACTTCAAACCGCGTCGCCAGAGCTGGCAAAGTGGCTTTTCAGGGGGGTCCGGTACCTGGCCTGTGGCTACTGGCAATGCCAGAGAACGGGTCTTTGCTTCCGAGACGAGACGAGAAAAGTTAATTGTACCGTACTGTAGGTATTGCGGGGCGCAATACCGTACGCGCTTCTTACAGTAATAAGTTAAACAATGTCGTTTGATGAAGGAGTGTAAGATATTTATTCTTCTTGTCGCATGGCAGCGAGGTCTACCTTGGAATATACGTGTACATATTCTCAACGAGGCCAATTCAATTGGACAGGACAGTGCAGAGTTGCTGTTAATCTATACTTGTGGCACAATCCAAGCCAAGTCCAGTTGCGTACAGGACCATGTCCCCTCTATTACTGTACCACTCCATGCAGGAAGGACCTATATCTGGAGTGATATATGTTTCACTTCAGGGAGAAGGATCGTGCCTGTGGGGTGGCTCCATATATATAGCAGCACTGTGCATAACTTTATTGCTGCTAGCCTGAAGATCATAGGCTTTACAGATGCAATTGTTAGATGTGCTGATTGCGAAGATACCTCGTGATATGGATACCTTAGTATTATCTTATATCTACTATTAAGCTGTTTCCGCAATGCGTCTTGGTCGGAAAAAGGGCAGTGCACACTGCTATTGACCATTCAGTCACTATTTTGAAGGCATTCACAGATCTATGTGATTGTACAATAAAGAGGAAACAAACCAATCATACGCAGATCGTAGTAGCTCCTGCTGCTGTAAAAGCAGGGGTTGCTAGTATGGACTGCCCCGCGTTGCCCCCCGTCTGTCCCCCATTGGTAGTTCATGTCATGTTTCTTTACTGTACACTCTGTTCAAGCTGGGTAAGAGAATTCTGCACAATGTAGTACTTCTGGATTGGTAACAATACACTAGAGAAGTGTGCTAGCTATGTTGTATCTAGGAGCTCAAAGGTTCTAGCGTCTCGTTGTGACTCTGTGTACGCTGTAGAGACTCTTAGGTGGCCTTTCAGGTGCCTATGTCACTCATCTCGAATTCATCACATAACTTGATGGAATGTAGAACCGTACGGGGGTTTTCTGGACTACTAGGCGAAGAAACTAAACACATGTATATTCCATGATGACGAGTGATCTACGATAGGTTTGATAGTGAAATCGTCTTCCCGAAGAAGGTATTTGAATAGAGTCTTAGAGGGCTCAAGATAATAGATTAACGAGTGTCGTGAAACAGGCCGATAATGCTCCATACAAGACGCCGCATAGAAATTGACCAGCCCAGTCTCTATCGCAATTCAAACATCGTGCACGCTAAAGCAACAACTTAATGAAATATAGTGGTCAAAGTCAGAAGAGGAGTTAGTCCGAGAATCCAGAAAGCCATCGAAATTGGAAGTATACACGTTCGCCATTTGCACTCAGCGATCTGTCTGTTCACCATCTGATAATCTCAGTTGGGAAAAACTCATGGATAAGCTCCAGGTAATAAGGCTAAAGCCAACGGTCAGTCCAAAATAATCATGTAGGTATAGAAGGCTTTACCTTCAACTCCTCAACGCTTAGGGTATCATCACTCTTGCTATATAAACCATAAGGATTGAAGGCCTTTACAGCTGTTAACATGGCATTGCCATGTTCATCCATGAATTCTTGGTATGCCCCACCAGAATGCCACGGGTAAAAGGAATGATAGCGAATCATTGCAAGAGCCTCGTCCGGTAGAGTTGACTGATCCTTAACAACATAGTAGAGGTACTCATCGTGGCCCCAGGAGAGCATCGTGCTATCCAAACCACAACCGGACTTATAGATGCCGTACTTGGTTCCGTAGATTTCATGGCCATAGTCCGGATTGCCTTTGAACGTGTCCGATAAGGTGATGCGCTTGTCAAAGGCACATCCGACTAGGAATGTGTCACCGATGACGTCCCATTGGCCTTGAGCACCGAAAAAGAAGAGAAGCTTTCCAAGGTCATGAATAAGACCTGTTAGCTGCATCCAGCGCGGTCTTCCATCGAGTCTTATAGCCTCAGCCGTCTGAAGCAGATGCTCGATCTGAGAGAGAGACGTATCCGGATCAGACTCATCGATGAAAGTGTTGAGTTTCTCCAATGCTTTCCATGCTCATCTCAGCTCGAACATTATATTTAAAGCCGTTTCGGGCTTTGAGATTATATGCCACAGTTTGCTTCTCATGTTGCTCCCTGTAGAAGGCCTAGAACTTGTCGCAGGCGTCTTCGCATTGCCTAAATTAGGCCTTGTCCTTCTCCGCATCGAACACAGATAACTCATGCATACCTCTCTCCCTTCTCATTTCCGACTTCAGAACGTTGAGGGCATCGATGTCATCAGATATAGTTTCAAGCGCTTGTCCATCTCTGCCAGTATAACGGACCGGTTCAAGTAGTGCGGATGACATTGCAAGTATTTAATGAGCACCACCAATCCACAGTTATTGTATAGTTTGCTAGGCATTCCCTCAAACGTCAGTTGTGAGGGCCAGTCAGGGGATGAAAATCTGCGTTAATTGATTTATGCAACGACCGAGATATCTTCAACTCACTTGAGCCTCTCCAGTTCTTTTATGTATGGTAAGTGTAGTTTGACAGTTGCTTATAAAATCACTAATCGCACTTGAGATACAATTGCACAGCAAATGACTAGGAAAAGAATGAAGTAAGATGATGGAATTTCCGGCCTTGAAGGAGACTAAGAGAGACTCCTATTATATGACCATACATCTGCCTTCGAGAGCAGTATGTCACAGTAAGACGAGAGAACAAGCAAACGCCGACGACGGGGACACCAGCGGAACCATATGATCAACACCACATTAGTGGCTGTCGGCGTCTGATTATTCAAGAAGCGTTGAAGCTTCTTTTTACTCCGTATCAGAATGCCACCCTTTTCCACTCTTGCCTTGCAAATCAATGGGGCTTATGCAACATGACAGGGGACGGCATTGCGGGGAAACCTCTGTCGAACTTGACGTGAGGATATGCGACGTTACTGTATCTTTTTTCTTAGCAGGGGCAGGTACCCCCCAGCAAGTTCAGCCTCCCGAACCAAGGCATAGGGTAGGTTGGGGTGACCGAAGCGCTTCGTAATTGGTGCTACGAGTTGCGAGTTGCGAGAGAGGTTGTGATCAGAGTGTTTGGGGAGGAGGAAAGTTGGAAATTTGTGGAGGTGATCTTCCCCACAAACAATTATATGTGGGGCAGTGTCATTCCCCCCTTTTTCATATGTATCATCACTTGAATACCGAAATTCGTACGTAGAGAATATTTATCAAAGAACGCCCGGCAATTTCCATAATTTTTTCCTCTACTAATAGTATTTTAGATGTTCTCCAGTGTTGTTGTGGCCTATCCGTCTCATACCTGTCGGCACACCCTCCTTTGCAAAAACATAAATATTGAAGGATCCACCGAATTGAGCCTCAGGTGATGTGACATTTTCGGCACCTCTTATACTTGTTGCCAATATATCCAACAGTCTCATTTGCATGTGCATGGACGGCTGAAGTAGGGTTCATTATGGCTTCTAGTACAGGATCTAGAAAACTTCTTGGTATATTTTGCGCTGGGCTATTGTAGATTCACAGCTCTAAAGTGGATGAAAGTCTCTACTTCTTGAGAGATGGCTCCCTGTATTCGAGTTCAGGATGGAAGCCGGTCTCTCTTACGGAAGGCGACGACTTTTCAACCGAGCAGATTGATATAAGAGGTCGTTGCTGGATTACTATCGCGGTCAAAGTTTCCCTGTGTCCACAACCACTTTCAATACCAGCTTCCCTTCATCATCTTTGACTCTTCCGGCCATAGCGAAAGCTTCAGGAATGGCACCAAAGCCCTCGAATCGCTGTGTAATCAGTTTCGAGAGGTCCGGAAGCAAAGGATTGCCACTTGAAACCAGCTCGATGGCTTCTGCATAGGTGTTTGCGTATCTGAAAACGCCTACCAAATCCACTTCTCGAAGTGCTGCTGCTGAAATTGGTAGAGTTTGGATAGGACTACCCATCCCAATAAGCATTATTCGTCCTCCGGGTCGTGTCGACTAAATTTATCAGTGCGAGGGCTTCAATACGCGTGCTTGAACACTTACATAGATAGCAGCTTGCATGCATGATTCGACGCCAGTGCATTCAAAAACTGCATCCACCTCTCCTATACCCGATGCTCCCTTGACAAGCTCAGCAACCTCCTTCGCAAAGGCCAACTTCTCATCGATAGTCTGGGGTCTCTTCATTGGAACAACAATTTTCGCATCTGCAAATTTATTCTCGACGGCAAAATCCACTCTGTCGCTTTGGATATCTGCAATAATGACTTGCTTGGCACCTGAAACTTTGCTCATCGCTGCGCAAAGAAGACCAACAGCACCGGCACCAAAAATCAGGACTGTGCTTTTAGGTTTCAGAGCTGCACGCCTAGATCCATGCATCGCGACTCCAAGTGGTTCTAGGATTGCTCCCAATTCCAAAGACACGTTCGAAGGTAACCTGCAAAGTTAGTATTGACAGAAGGCAACCAGACGCACACTTACTTGTAGCAAAACGATGCTGGATGATTTATCCTCTCTTGTAACGTGCCTTGAAAATGTGGGTAGGCCTTTGCAGAACTTCTGAATTTCATTTCTTTGCATATATTGTACCTGCCTCCGTTGCAGAGCTCACACTTGCCGCATGGTAAGCCAACTTCAAGAGCAACTCTATCTCCGATTTTAAGGCCATTCACTGCCGAGCCAACTTCAGTCACCACACCAGAAGATTCATGACCTAGCGTCAAAGGCTCTCGGACTATTATATCTCCATTGCGATAGTGATTGAAGTAATGGAGGTCTGAGCCGCAAAGACCAGTAGCTTGGACCGCAACTTGAACCTCTGATGGAGCTGGTAGGCCCAGAGACCGGTGTTCCTGTAATATGTAAGTATATTCTTCATGGAGTTTAAGTATGGAACAAACTATTTTCAATTCCTTAACCCCGTGCAATACTGAAGCTCTCACTCTTCCATCATCCTTGCTTTCACCTCCACTGGCTTTGTTGTGCTCAGATGCCATGATTTGAGGAATTAGTTGAAAAGCCTGATGTTGGAAAGAGGGCCAAAAGAGCTGCTCCTATGGTGTCTTTTGCTGTACGATACTCAGGTATTTGAGTAACAACAAGTCGGCGAGTGACGGGGACGGGATAGGTTTCCAAGGGAACTTCCCCGCATGACACCACTCCACACCTAGGGCAATCCCGAAGTATATTGTCCACCTCAACCGCATTTGAGTTTAACTGCGATTACTACAAACTATTCTTGATGAGTTGTACGAGTTATATTCCAGCTTTCCGAAAATCACTTTCTCTTCGGATTATAGTAAATGTACCCTTATAGTATTACTCCGTTGTATGTACCAGATGCGTCCCGGTCGCGTCCAGGTATTATTACTATTCGTACTGGTGGGGTGGCTCTAATAACCCCTACCCCTACTCCATAAGCTCATTAGCGAGAGTCCGAAATAACCCCTTTCCGTCTCCATCCCTTCTATTCCTGCCGAGGTACAACCAAGCATATACGGTGGTCATGACCACATTTTAATCAAACTGGTATTAGAATAACAAATGCTCTATGTTTCAACTGTAAAGTGATTCAGTAGTAAAAGGTGTACTGTAGAAATATTATGTTGGAGAAGATCAAGCCGCAAATACCTGCAGACCCGCGTTATTAAAAACCCTGAAAATACATATTAAATCTGCTATATACGAGTAGAATTTATGGAAGGTAAAGATTGCCTTTTCATCAGACACATCGAACAATGATAGCACTTACTATAATTCAATCTAATATATCGATGTTATAGCGCTAAATCAGGGGTAAAGTTGGGGGCTTTTTGATGGGTACAAGGTGAAAGAAAAGCGCAGTCTTGTTATTTCAGGTAGCTCACAACAGGGGAAGGTTTTACCTGTTAGAAGTTTAGGAATTAGGACAGGAGTTCTAAATGGGAGTTTCTCGAGCATTGACCAAGTGTCACTGTCTTCGATCACTTCCCGGACGATGATGCCCGGTAAGCAGGAAACTTGAAGAGCACAGCTTTTGTGTGCAACACATTTGGTCGTTTAGACTCAGATGAAGTCGGTCATATGTTTCTTGAACTTAGTACTATGTCAAACTGAATGAGGTCGTGTACCCTAGAACATAGAGACATCAGATGGTCTTATATTGTGCAGACCTACATAGGACGAGACTATTCGCCCCTTTTTTCCATTGCACTCAATAACCTTTCAATGCAGTCTCTGTCCATACCCATAATTGCTTTGCAAAGTCTTCGCTTTTCGCTACCGCGTCCAGCTTGTGGTTGCAGAGTACTCCCATCGGTCGATAGAAACCTCCATTAACCACCTCAGTTTTGTGCATCCCCACGGCCATATACTGAAAATCAGAAAGGTTAGTATCTCATCCAAAGGTGCTCTCATGCGTATGGTAAATCAACAGTCATTTAGAAGACTTGAGTCTTACAAGAGAGTTAAGTGATCCTTGCTCTTCGGTCACGACATCAAGATAATTTACTTTATTGAGCGTATATACCAGTGCCCTACCTGTGTGGAGGTTTCAAAGTCAGTATTACTTCTTTGAAGATATATTTAGTGGCAGGGCCTCGACTCGGAGAGAAAGACCACTCACTAAGTAAGGGTGCGTTCTGAAGAAGTCCCGTGTTTATTACTCCCGGACTGTCTAGGGAATCAGTATAGGATTCCCCGCAGTTTCCTAAGCATATAGAGGGTTTGAACTGTACGGGCAAGATTTGACTTACTGGATTGAGACTGATGTTATACTAGGAAATCGCCTGGCAAGTTCTGCTGCGTAAACAACATTGGCAAGTTTACTTTGCCTGAAATTTTTAGGTCAGTGATCCACACCAAAAAGATGACAAAAAGACAAGAGGTAGCGGTAAAAATTTTTCGGAAACATCGATATTCGAATAGGAAAGGTGCATATTGACTGAACATCAGGCGAGCTTGCTTACCCATATCGAATGCTAGGTCCAAGAAATCTGTCCTGAACCGTCTTCAATCCGGAGAATTGCACGCCACCTTTTGGATGAGTCGCCCAGCCATCAGATGACAAGCAAACGATTCGAACATCGGCCTCTGGAATTTTGGTTGTTTCAAGCATGATAGGAAGCAGTTGTTGAATGAGCATAGCGTGTCCAAGATGGTTGGTGGCAAATTGTATTTCATATCCATCTGTGCTAAGAGCAGGTGGTGCGGCCATGATTCCAGCATTGCAAATTAGTATATCAAGGCGTTTATGGGCAAATTTCTCAGATGCGGCCTTGACCGAGGACAGAGAACAGAGGTCCATTTCGAGGAAGGTAAGGGAGACGGAAGGATTAGTTTCTCGAATATGTGCGATGAGCAATTCGCCAGCTTTCTTGTTCCGGCCGCTGAAGTAGATATGTTCTGGTTCGTGTTTTGCAAGTGCTCGAATGGTGACACTCCCTAGACCGGCAGTACCTTGACATCTGATTAGTCTTATACGTAGAAGAAATATCTGGAAAGCAAACCTCCTGTTACGAAGATAACTTTGCCCTCCAACGAAGGAATGTCCTTCTCGGGCTTAAAGTCGACGAGCCCACCCATTTTGTTCTTGGGAACTGGACTGCGGGAGGATTTCAAAATTTCGAAGGCTACCTAGGTATATTGGGGGTAAAAGGATGAAGGAATAAATTATTTACAGGAGGAAATATATGTGAGGGCCAAGATGAATGGGCAAGTTAGGGAACCGCAAGCTAAAAATCATTCAGATCTGAAGGAAGAAGATGGGCAGCTGCAGGCGGTCAAGCCAAAATCCTACCTACCTCTTATACTCATAACAAGCGGGACTAGGTAGGCAGCCGAGCTTCATACACACTGACAGATACCCAGGTGGCTACCAATGCTTCTGTAGTCGTAAAGTCTACATTGTAGCAATTGGTAGCAATATCTACAGTACTAAGTGCTCAAAATGGACGTTGGGTTGGATCGCAAAATGCCAGAGGCCCCGGCCGTCCGCCCCACCGTTGAGGGGCGGGGCTCTAGCGCATAAGCAACCTGCATTAGCGGGAGCTGGGACCCTTGACCGGCGCATCAATTATACCTCCTGCTCCTGGTATCTGCTTCATCCACATACGGTACAGTACACTACAAATTGGTCTTTGGTACAATTGGGTGGCTTTGCGGAAGCGGTCAAACACGTTCTGCTAGGACCATAAGCATAAGCAAAATGCATATGTATATATATCGCCGCCACTTGGGACCTTGACTCCACCCCACTTCTTCTCAATCAACATCCAGTGGTGTGTATTCTTTGGATACCATCAGGTCAAAAGTTCGACGAATTGAGACGCGATCATGGCTGGAAACAGATTAGAGGTTCAGCTCGTTCTTGCTCCCAAACATCAGCTGATTGAGGTAAGGATCCATCACCTTATTTTAGGCATGATACATTATACTGAGGCTTCACAGGCCATAGACAGAGAAGATGATTGGACTGGCTTGACAGACCCGGCTGCGAGAAGGAAGAAACAGAACCGCTTGCATCAGAGGGCATGGCGTGAGTGAATTCAATTGCTCGACACATGTGCCACCACTTGCTGGCAGGAACCCCCTACGGCTACCCTGCAAGAAGAAAAGAAGGACTTCCCTCCATAGCCTATGTCCGAGATCATGGACTACAGCCCCCGATTACAGCACTTATGGGATTTACCCCATTGGGTGTCTTTACAAGCTCTGCTGTTGGATTATCTTCATTCATGAGATTTATCTTCTAACCTCATAGATCGCCCTGTCCTTTATTTAGCCGTTACTGTCATTGCTATTTTCTTTCCACTTGATGCTGCAAAGCATGCTTTGATGTCTTCGAACAAAATCACATATTTGTTAGATCCAATTCAAGTACTGACTCACCTCCAGGACGGCGAAAGGCTCTTCAAACCGCAACACCAATACTTCCCAATCATGCATGGCTCCTCGACCACCAAAAAGCTCCCAATAGAGATGCCGAGCGCTCAGAGGAATTTGCATTTTATCAAGAGCCTCAGCTCAATTCAAATGTCGGTCCGGATTGCGAAACTGATTTCAGTTACAATACATCCTTAACAGTTCGATTTCTCGACTCCGCACCTTTCGAGTTTTCACAGAATGCTGAGTCCAACTTCCACCTTGTTGATTACAATATTTCAAACCAAACTCTATCGACCGCTTCTAAACTCATTCCACCACTTCTCCCATACCTCAATCTGAAGTCGTTCACTTGGGATTTCGATGCCAGGAGCAGGCGTTTCACCTTCCCTCTCCCTGCAGACCAACGCCTCATAACGCTTTCACAATATAATGTCTTGCGAGCGAGCCTGACGAATATGAAGATCATGTCACTCCTACATACAATGCCAGCGGAATGTGGCGCAGCGTTCGGTATTGCCACTCTTCCAGCTCCCGATAATATTCCTGTCTCTCTACAACCCACACCACTTCAGCAAGCAGTTCCACACGAGTCCTGGATCGACTGCCTACCTATTGGTGCAATGCGAGATAATTTGATCCTTAATTTTGGAAAATATGATCAAGATGAGTTATGTTGTGACTTGATAGGTGGCTTATATGAAGGCTTTGATGATATTCAGTTGAAAGGTATGTTGGTATGGAGCGATCCTTGGTTGTCAGATGGATGGGAAGTGACCGAGGGTTTTGCAAAGAAATGGTCGTTCCTGCTGAAGGGCTGTAGTGAGTTGATCGAGTCGACGAACAGGTATCGGGCGTCGAGATATGAAGAGAGGTTGATTGTTGAAGTGTAAAGGGGTGTCATTGATAACCGAGAATGTGACACTGTACTGTCTAGGAAGAGAATGAGATGAGTGAAAGCCAACGCAGGTTTAGAGGAGAGGCCCCTATTTGTATGAACATATCCCGTTGTTATATAAGAATCCCTTTGCCGAAGATATGTCTAGTTCAAGTTGATTTCTACAAGTAATCATGCTGTCTAAAGGTCCTTCACTACGTCGATGTAATTGACGAGCAGGAACAATTACCATAGAGCTATAGAACATCCCTTTATTACTCGGCCCACCCCTTGGTTTCTGACTGCGTCGTGTGGTGTGGTATCGGGCTTTGACGGGCATTGCCGTACCCCGCCCCCGCCAAAAGAATCTACACATGCCACCTCAACCTGGAGTACTAATAATAACCTTGGTCTCTTTTGAATGGGTTGGCAGAAACTCAGTGTCCAACTTGTAGCAACAGGATCTAATATATCTAGGATCAACACAGGGAAATAATGGCTGCTACTTCCGCACTTGCAATGTTCTCCCTTGAGGGACAAACCGCTGTGGTGACAGGTGGGACAAGAGGAATTGGTCAAGCTGCTGCACTCGCGTTAGCTGAAGCCGGGGCCAATATTATTCTGATACAGGTGTAGTACTTTGGATGTCGAAAACAAAAGTAAAAAGCTGCTAATAACTTAATATATAGCGCGACAATTCTCAAATAGAAACCCGGAAGGCAATTGAAGCCACGGGAAGAAGAGCAACCATATTCACTGCAGACCTGTCGTCCCAAGAAGAAGTAGCTGCCCTGACGCCTCAAATCTTGAAAGACGGACACAAGATCAATATATTGGTCAACTGTGCTGGAATTCAGCGTCGACATCCCAGCGAAAAGTTCCCGGACAGTGATTGGAATGAGGTATGAAACCAAAGCCCTTCCGCCTATGGATGACTGACAATTTGCCAACTAGGTCATCCAAGTGAACTTGAATACGGTTTTCACCTTATGCCGCGATATCGGTGCCCATATGCTCACTCTCGAGCCGTCACCAACTACCGGTCGCCGTGGTAGTATCATCAACTTCGCCAGTCTTCTCTCCTTCCAAGGCGGGCTGACGGTTCCCGCGTATGCAGCTTCCAAAGGTGCCGTAGCACAGCTTACAAAAGCGTTATCGAATGAGTGGACATCGGAAGGCATAACCGTAAATGCAATTGCACCGGGTTACATTGCAACAGAGATGAATACGGCCTTGTTAGCGGATGAAGCGAGATTGAAAAGCATAAGTGAGAGAATACCAGCTGGTAGATGGGGAGTCCCCGAGGATTTCAAAGGGAGCGTGGTGTATCTAGCGAGTAAAGCAAGTTCGTATGTCTCGGGGCATGTGCTTGTCATTGATGGAGGATGGATGGGGAGGTAACATGGAAAGTCTATGCTTTCTTGGACTGGAGCCTAAGAATATTGAAAGATGGCTTAAAATCTGTTCTGTTGAAGTGCGTCTTGAAGTACCAGTAATCATCCGCACCAGGCTTTCTCTCTATGCAAATCGAAATTCTTCCCCAACCCCTAAGACAGATTTCATTTGAGGTGATGACATCCAGATGGTCGACAGGTAGAGACAGTGCTGGAAGAACCCAACGGCACCAATCCGGGAGACCTACAAGTACTGTACCCACCTAGGTTTGAGACAGGTCACATGATTTAGAGTATCGTGAAAACCCATGTCTGCAATAGATGTTCTCAGGAATAAGATTAGGAACAAGACACAACCTACTTAGAGTAAGACGGCTCTACGATGTGAATCCTGATATGTCAAGGTAAGGCATATTCAAGAGATACATTGCACGTGCTTACTTGGGTGATATGTTCAGGGGCCTCGGACTTCAACGCGCTTGTCCTGCAGGAGATATAAAAAGGGGCACTTATTATCCTCGACTTTGAGTATAAACCGGTGCCGCTTTTTCTGTCCACCGGGAGGACCTTTATATGCAATAAGCTTCTCTACTTTAATCGAGATTGCGTTAGGTACCGTACCGTACCTTGCCCTACACTATCGATAATGTCAATACCAGTTTGATTAGATAGATCACCCCAGGCGTTTGAGAAGAACGCGCTTTGGTTGCCCCGGGAGCATGAAATGAGAAAGGGCTTGGAATGAACTATGGATTCTGCAAAGAAAACACTTCACTTGACTTCACTTGACTTCACTTGCTCAAACATCTTTACAAACTGTCCACCCAGGGTTCCAATCATTAATCATTATAATACATGTTCGCACACAAACTATCCGCAGTCTTTCAAACGAAACGCGCACCCCTGTTTGGACCCCATCACATCTACAAGTACCATCCCAATCCAATCTCAACCCCATCCCCTACCCTACCACGGACATCCCGAGAATCGCAACCTTCCGGAACAACACGCACTCCTTCTACAATCGTCTCTTCTTAAGACCCACGAAGCTGCTGCAGGTCAGCGCTGATGACATTCCCTCGCATCTGTCCCAGTTGACCATTTATCTCCTACAAGGACCGGGAGCAGGACGACATACAATCTTCAGCAAAGCATAATCGTTCGGAAGCACCTACAATTCACAGCCATGGCGAGCACACAAGAACTCCGAGAACAGCCCTCCTTCCGCCGAGATTCCCCCTCGCCGTCTCCCTCACCAACACCAGCCATCGGAGCCTGTCCCGAGCTTTCTCGCTCCGTGTCGACCGCCTCCACAGGTTCAATATTCTCAGGGGCGGATAATAGCAGTAGCAGTATGGGACGTGAATCGATGGCCAGCTCTACCGGCAGCTCGACATCACGGTCTTCATCTGCAAGTTACACAAAGCGGCAATCAATCGGGGGTCTGGATACGTTATCACGTCGAGGTTATGTCCGGCCTCAAGGCACAAACTTCGCCGCTTCTGCACAGTCAAGGGAAAGCGTACTCAGCCTAGGAAGCATTGCACATCTCCAGTACTACTTTGCGCGAACAGGCCTACTCGATGGGAAGGGTGGACGGTTAATGAAGAAAAAAGATAAGGATGACCGTGGCACACTGGATCTGTCGGCTCTGGATACATCGTTTCTGTCACCAAGGGTAGTAGGGTCAGATGTGGATTCATCTTACGCATCTATGGGCAGTAGTCCTGAGCTTCTCGCCCAGGGACATGGAGGCATGATGGTGGAAAGCCCAACACAAGATGACGATGAATACTTCAGCGGTGAAGACGAGAATCATCCGCATATGCTCCCCCCAACCGTCAGCACCTACAATCACCGCGAGAAACCTATTGCCCACCCGCCTACACTCAGAGAACTTAAGGATGACCTTCGAAAGGCACTAGGGGATGCTGCCAAAGTTCTCGAGGATGACAAAAAGAAGCAAGCATCACCACCAGCTTCTCCACAGACAGAAGCATCTGGGGAGACAAAAATGACCCAAGGAAACAACCACGGGTGGCATGAGATCCAGGGAATGCATATCCTCGATATTATGACTCTCGCCATTCGCGCCGCGAAGATGTATTACACTGCCCACAATCAACCAGCACGGCTGTCATCTATAAAATCAGAGCGAAAAATCCGGTCAGAACTTCTCTCTGTTATGGAAGTTTTAAAGCGGATGGCTACCAGGAATTTTGCATTTGGAATGCGGAAGGAAGAACGACAAACCATGGAGGACTGGGTTGTAGACGTCTACGAACTGCTGAAGCAGGAAGAAGCTATGGAGGAGAGCGAGAAGAAACAACGAGCTAGCTGGACCTGGCTGGAGGATAATTGGGATGCCGGGGATGTAAAACGGGAATATGCATTTATGAAGTCGATGGATCCCGATTCAGACTCTCTCCCGGAGTATACACCAGTGGATGAGGTTCAGATGGATGAGGAGTTGCCTACGAAATTCCTGGGCGATTTGAGGACAGGCTTAAGATTAGTCAAATTGCATAACGCGCTGGTGAGGACGAGCAAGCGACCTTTTGGGGCGATTGAAAAGTGGCATACGGATTTTGGAAAACCCTATCGAAGTGCAGAGAATTTGCGATATTGGCTCAAAGCTGCGGAATTGAGATGGGAAGTGGTATTAAAAGTGGACGTCATGGGCGTCGTCAATGGATCCGACCGGAAGGCTTGGAAAGACTTCGAAGCTGCGATCTGGAAGTGGTGTGGAAAGGTTAGGGAGGAAATCACCGCGGAGTTGAGGGATTGAGGCGAGATTGATGATGCTTCTACGATGATTACGACGTTTATGTACCCACAGTTCCCAGAGGTGGAGGTGAAGAGTGGAAGAGCTCTTTATGTCTGCATTGCGTTGCTGTAAATAATTGCGACGAACGCATTATATTGCATTGCAAGGTAAGGATGGGAGGGTTCACTTGCTTCGTTCGTATTATACCCATACTTATTTATTTACCAAAATCGTTGATTTTCTCCCTTTACATTTGGACTTGAAGCACTTTTTTCGTGTTGGTGTTGATGTTGTTGCTGGTTCTGTTCGACGGGACCCAAACTACCGGTAGACCCCCTTTCGATAAAAGTTTCAATGACACAATAACAGTCCAGTAGTCCACTTTTCGAACTATATTTTGGAACCAAACTATTCGCACATGAACTTTTCAATGGCCTTTACACACCAGTACCATTATGTCCAGACTTTTGCGCCACCCCTCAAGGTGTCGTGCATTACTGTTCCACCACCATTACCTCTAAACAGCCATCATGCAACTCATCCACGATAGCTAGCAAGTCACATCTTACTCAACGGTTCTTTGTTATACAACAGCTACATATCCAACATTTTGGAAAATCAATGCACTGCCTGATTTTGCCTCAACCATTCCAGATAATTCGCAAATCCTCTAGCAGACATCATTACGCCCGTCTCCCTTGATTAAGCTAAAGGTCAACACGAAAATGGAGCATATGAATAATCTCACGCACACCACGACTACCTACCCTCCCGTCAAATCCTACATAACATCATACATCCACCCTCTCGACTTCTCCTGCAAATCCGAACGAGCACTCCTGTACACCATCCTCACCATAAGCGTTCTGTTCATCGCCGCATCCGTCATTTTCCACGGCTATCTATTCTTTGTCAAGAAAATGGTGGATTGGCTCTTGGATCCCAAGGGTGAAGACAGATGGTTGCTAG